AATTTATTAAACTTATATTTTATACGCTAAACATTACACATTAACTATACATTTTTTAATACAAATTTCAATCAAAAATACTATAAATGAACAAATGCAACCAGTGACAAGCAAATAGAAACAAAATGTCACATCCTTTATACTAATTTCCCTAAGCGCACTACGTTTCTCGTAATGAGCTAAACTCAGCTGAGTTACCTTCCAGTATTCTAATATACCAGACTCCAATAAACTTTGAACAATTTTATTTATTTTGGGTAACAAAGCTGAACCTTTTTGTACCACAAAACCCATGTAGCTCTGCAACAAGATCTGTTTCAACTGATAGTAACACATATATTTATGGTTTCTTTTTTCAATTACTGTCTTGGCATAAACTTGGCAAAGAAAATTTGATGCTACAAAGGCTTGGTTTTTATCACATGCAGTGAATTTTGATATAAAACCTTCTCTAGATAAATATACGTTGTTTTTCTGAATTTTTTTGATGTATTTTAGATCAGGACCTTCAAGATTTTCAACTGATAACTTAAATAAGTTTTCAGTAATATATCCAAAGTCTTTTTTTGTTAACTCTTTGAAGGTTTCAAGATGGTATTCTGTTGTTGGTATGGTCAGTATACTTATTAGCTTGGACTGAAAGTAATAGTCGATCACAAAGCAGTAAAATAAAGCTCCTATAATGAGAACTCTCAGTTTCTTTATAGGTAGATTTCCCAATCCATTTGATGAAATTAGGCGAATGTTTATTAAAAATATGTTTGATAATGATAGTCTTCCGTAAATTTTCAGGTAAAGTGAAAATAGCATCAAAAAGATTAAAGTTATGATCCAAGCGTGGAATGGTATTACTGAAACCAAGTTTGTAACGGGTTGTAGCTCGGTGGGCAGAAGTATTACTAGCTGATCTTTGCTGTACGGGTAAGTATAGTCTACCTAAAAGGTAAAACTACAGTAAGAGATGCAGATATACAAGTAGGGATACAAATATCGCAGACAGATACATCGTAACATCGATATTATTCATGGTATAAAATAAAATTTGAATTTTTATGTTAATTTGAATGCTATAATTGAATGCCATACTATATAGGCGTCTGCCAACATATAGGTATCAAACGTCCAAATTAACTGTAATTTTTAATTAACTTAAAAGTCTATTAAGCTGCAAACCAAACACACGTGCTTTGATTTCGGCTTGATTAAGGTTTGCAGAGCTTCAGAATTTGCCACAAAATAGCGAGCAGTTTGTTACCAAACCATATAAATTATTTATCACTGTAATCACAAAACTTCAATCTATGTCCGTATTGTAACGGAATTTTAAATTATGTCTTTATTTTCGAGAAAATTTAGTTCAAACATAAGGAATATTTTGTTGATGTTTGACCATCAAAATCTTAGAAATAAAGAAGTTGTCTAATAATGTGCTACAATACGGATATAGTATAATCCTTTATCTTTAATTTCCTTCTTCGTTTGTGTAAAAATACCTAGTAGGCCAGTAAACGTAACCGAGTATTATATGTAAAGGTGGAAAAAATTAGTAACCAACCGTTCTCAACGGGAATGTGTAGATAATGATCTCCAATTTAACCCCTCAAAAGTCCCATTCGGTCCCAGTGGGGGAAGTTTGAGAAAACCGCCGCCATCTTGGATTTTTTCGTTTTTTTCAAATATCTCCGTTTGCATAACTTTTTTCGAAAAAACTAAAGATACGTTTTTTGTAGAGAATTAAATTTAGAATGTTTTACCTTCAATCACTTTTTTTCTAAAATAAATAGTAATAGAGATAGAGCAATTTTTTACTATACGTTTTATAAATTTTCAAGTTTTTTAAACCAATTAGCCATAATTTTTGCGTTAACAGTATAGTGTTAATATAGATAAACCAAATATAAATTTAAGCATTAAAACAATTAAAAATAACGTTTAAATATTATTTATTAAATAAAGTTATTGTTAAAAAAATTATTATTAAATTAAAGTTATTAAATTAAATCTGCTATGACGTCATCCTGAGCGTCATTTTCGTCCTCAACTAAAATACAAAACTTTGTGCAACTGATTCCGTAGCACTGACCACACTTTGAAGAACATATAAAACCTAGTTTTCTACAAGAGCAATCAACTCTCTTTGCAATTGCAAAAAATTGATTTTAGTAGTCAGGAGGCGCCACATCTTGTGTTGATTGAATAGGTGTCAGATTACCTTTTTGATCTTTCTTCCATCCATATTGTAAAGGATCTAACTTGTTACCAATCCGTTCTTGAATTTAAAAAATACAACTTATAACATTTCATATAATAGATATATCTTTACAGTTACTTGAATGACAAGGCTGAAAGGATGTCCTGAGTAAATGGAGTTTTGCAGAATTTTCAGTTGGAGGCAAATTAGCTAAATTAAAAGTAGTCTTAAGGGCTTCTCTTGATGTAATCCTATTATAATAATAACTCCCGTATATAGCGTTTAACGTCTTGGGAGTAGCAAGAGCTGCTAGAGCCGTTCGGTATACAAGGAAGGTAATGTGGCTAGCACTACGCTTTAACCGTCTATTATTAGCTCAGTATTGTGAATCCTAAATGGATGGAATCCTACAATATGGATGGAAGAAAGATTAAAAGGGAATCTGACACCAATTCAATCAACAGAAGATGTGGCGCCTCCTGACCTACTATAATTAATTTTTTGTAATTGCAAAGAGAGTTGATTGCTCTTGTAGAAAACTAGGTTTTATATGTTCTTCAAAGTGTGGTCAGTGCTACGGAATCAGTTGCACAAACTTTTGTATTTTAGTTGAGGACGAAAATGACGCTCAGGATGACGTCATAGCAGATTTAATTTAATAACTTTAATTTAATAATAATTTTTTTAACAATAACTTTATTTAATAAATAATATTATATAAATAATAATAATAGCTCCCGTATATAGCGAAATGGAATCTTAAGGTTGTATCATAATTCGAAAAACAACAGTTTTCGTAATATCGATGTATCATTTGCATTTCTAGATAACCAAGATATAGAGTAGGTACTTACAAGATTGAAATTTGCTAGTTCCACAAACATTGTGTTAAATGCTCCATGTACAGTGCCATTTATAACACGTTTTAAAGTACTTTTAGTCAAGGTAATACCATGTTGCTCGTTTTTTGGAGTGATAAACTCCACAGAAGCATTGAAGCGTTTCAATATTTCCATCACCATCAATCCATTTTGTCCTTCATAGTGGTCACCTTTCAATACAGTTGTAATAAAAGGAAATATCAATAGTTTTAACTTAAATCCATACAAGTTTTCACCAAACTCTTCAAAAATCAGTGAAAAACCGTTACTCTTGACTATCTTGTTCGTAAAAGGATTGAATCTGATTATTTGAGAAAAATTTTTACTTAAAAATATTAAATTCACTGTAAAATATTTTTCAAAACACTTTTTTGAGAACTTTTCAATTTCTTTCATTGTTATGTTGTTTACGTAAAAAAGAAAATGGTCTCTTTGTTTATAGAGATTAGTTTTGGCAATTTTATCAAAATTTATTGTCAAATCACCTACTCCATTCGCTAAAAAGATGAACAATTTTTCAAAATATTTCAAATAACTTTGTTCGATGATTTCAAAGTTTTTTTCTAAGTTTATAACTATCACCGGAACTATTTTACTCACAGATTTAATAATACTATTGCTATTTTGACTAGAATAATTACTATAAACAATTACAACTTGTTTTATTGTCATAAGTTTCGTTATTTCTTCAAAATTATATGAGTTAGAACTGTTAAACAAAAAAATAATGAGGATTATTAAGATAAGTGACATTATTTTGAGTTATTACGATTTATACTAATGAATGTTATAAAAAAATAATTTAGTTAATGCACTAGAATGAATTTTATGGTAGACATTAATAACTATAAGTTGATTAATAAAAAAAATACTGTTTTATATCCTAAATAAATTTATATAGACCCAGATAATTTAAGAACAAAGACTAAATAAGATTGAATGTGTGCAGGATTTTATATTTATTTTATTTTTAAACATAATAAAAACGGCTTAGTGAGACTATAGAGTGTTGTAAGGGAAAAAATAATTAATTGATATGCTTTAGTGCAGGAAAATGTCAATTTTAATGTCTTTTTTACGTAGCGTGACTTAATATTGATAAAAAAATATGATTAATGAAATTAAAAGTTTATGAAACATGTTTCAATTCTGTGTCCTCGTAATCAATAATGCTAAGTTCTTATATTATTGATGATCGACAGTAACGAAAGACTTATATTATCAATTTTTTTGGTGTTTGTTAAAGGCATACAAAAATCAAAAATGATACTTTCAAATTGTAGAAGAGGTGTACAGAGGTGTTTATTGAGGAGGCAGTGATAAAAACCTTGTAACAATCCGAAGATTGTTCTTTCTTAAATCTTTCTTGATCGTTGATCCCCTTGGTGAGAGCGCCCTCCAAAGTAACGTAGCATCTGACGTGGCACATTGTAATGCACAGGCAATGATATAGCAAGAGCGTTGCAGTATAATGCCACAACGACAAATGACACGTTTCTGACAAACCGTTACTTCAGTGTGCGCTGACACACTTATTGACTTATTGTCGTTCGTTCAATTCAACGTAACATGCATCTTTTTTTTTGCATGCTACAACGACGAATGGTACGTTTCTAACAGCGCTACTTCAGTGTGCGTTGACACACTTATTATCGTTTGTTCAATTCGACGTAACTTGCTAGATGCATGTTACGTCAGATGCTACGTCACTTTGGTGGACGCTCTCACTTTAGATCATTGGAGAATTCCCATTCCAGGTTACGGTTTAATTCTTCCAGGTTCTTGAGTTCCGCTTTTAGTTTGTTTCCACTTGGGTATCAGAACATTCAGAACGGTTCTGCCCAGTTAGTGGAGTGTTCGCTCCTTTTCTAGCTAGATCGTCTCGCTTTTTCAGAGAACAGATACTTATTAACAGAAACAACAAAAAATAAAAAATATAAAACATATATTTACAGTTAACAATAAAAACATAGATCAATAAACTTTGTTCCTTGCTTTCGCTTGAAAATTAAGTAGATCATATTGAGATAGTGTTTCTTATACACTTAATACAGTTAAATCTCAGAGAAGTCTATATACTCAACACTCAACCGTCAGATTTTTTTACTTCTTTCCATGTAGCCATAATTTTCATAAACACAAATTCTTTGTTGGTATAGTGATGTGGTAATGGTATCTCTATGCTAAGTTATTTCTCCAAGAGTTAAATAATATGATATTGAGATGTTCTAAGGTATGTACGCGGTTGATGAGGAAGGTATTGGCTCTGTGTGCATATTTTCAACAATATGTTGCTCATCTTCACGTTGTGATGATTCTCCTATGGTTGGTAGACTTGGAATAATTCTCTTAACTTTTCTTTTCACTCTTTTTCTCATCTGTTTCAACTTTTCATCTTGAATTTTCCTAAAAAATAGTTATAATTTATAGAAGGTGTTTAAAATAATTAGAAAAAATAATTGCAAAAAAATATTTCTATATTTTTTATATACGAGGGCACAGATTATTATTTACGAGGGTCTGGTTCTATTTGAATATCTTTAACCTCAATTTCAAACATATGGTTTGGATTTTTTTTCAATTAGAGTCAATGACTAAAGATTACAAAATTATTAGTAAAAATTTTGTTTTAATGCATAATATTTAGAGAATGGAATGAATAGAAGTGATAAGAAACAATAAATATTGTTTTTGTGATTTCTAGTATTACTAATTGATAATACAAAGATAATTGGCGCAAATGAATCAACAAAAACGTTGTTAATTTCTAGAAAAAATTGCAAAATATACTTACTGTTGTCGGCAGTCGATGAAAATTGCCATTAGAAATATCAAAACTATAACTAAAACTGATAATATCACAAAAATCACGACTGTGGTCACCTGGTTGGTTTCATCTTGGATGATTTCTGTTATTGTGGGGTTAGTACTGGTGGATTCATCTGAAAATACAACAAAAAACAATTATTTTGATTTATTTTTTTTATTTTTATAGGGTTAGAGTTGTTAGTAGAATAGTCTAAAATACCAAAAAATATATCGTATGATCGAAAAAAATGTCATCAATTGTAACAGCCGTCTTTGACGCCGTTTTTTTTCGTATCTTATGATATATATTTCTACATAATTCTTAGACGTTTATTATGTACTAGCGTGTACCAGCGACTTCGTTCGCGTCGAATTAATCATTTGTAATGGTGATGATAAAGGAAAGCAAGAATTTCCATTAACATACAAACTGGATAAAATTTTCTCACATTTATGTCAGCATGAGAAAAAACAATATAGCGATATTATTATATAACTTGGTAATATTTGAGGGGTAGTTTCATCTCGTTGGAATTTGACTTTCAAAAAATCCGTTTGCCAAAAATAAACTTTTTACGTCAAGCAGTTTAAGCAGAATCTGTATGATTTTTTTAAAAATTTCAAACTGTGTAAAAAACCAAATAAATTATGCTTGTCCAAGCGTTTTCCCGAAAGACTAACCGTTTTTTAAATAACAAATATTGTAATATTTGGGGGGCGTTTTCACCCTCTTGGAATTTGAGATTCGAGAAACCTCTCCTTATCGAACCTCTACACCCCACAGTCAGCCGAAAATCAACTATAAACGTCAAGCAGTTTAAGCAGAATCGTGATTACTCAATGGTTATATTTTATGAAACACCCTGTATAAATTTATAAAAAATCTTAGAATATAAAAAATACCAAAATAAAATATACGTGTTTAAGAGTTTTTCCGAAAAACTCACCGGTTTTTAAATAAAAATATTTTGATATTTGAGGGATAGTTTCACCCCCTTAAAATTCGAGTTTCGAAAAATCCCTTCTTATCGAACCTCTACACCAGTAGTTCCCAAACTTATTTTTCTCGTGGGCCACTTTCAAAATTTTACTGGTTTCGGTGGACCCCCTGCTGCTACATTTCTACCACATTCTTAAAGTCGCCAAAAAATAAAATTGTGTCACTTGAGTTCTGTCCTATATTCCGATATGTAAAAAAAAACGAAAATGGTACATTTTATATCACTTTATTTATTAAAGAATAGAATTACAAGAAAAAATATATTAAGGTAATATAGGTTCAGGTCATAATTTTAATTAATGGGAAGGATGTATCTGATGGAGTGTCAGCAAACGATCAATGTTTGGCTTTTATTTTTGTGAGCAATAACCGCAAATCCCCGCTCTGTGATGTTTAATTTGCTCCTTTTTTTTGTTAAGAGGTTTGTAACGGCACTAAAACTCCTTTCGACAAGGTATGACGAGGGAAAAGCTATTAAAAATTTCCTTGCGATTTCCCACAGTCCAGGATATTTTTCGGGTATTTCTGCTTGCAGCCAAAATGTTGGGTAGCCTTTTCTAAATTTCACCTTCAGCTCCTCATTAGTGCTTAGCTCGAGCAGCTCCTCTTGTAATACAACATTGGCCACTTCCGTTTCATCAAATGGATTTATGATCCATGGTGGTATATCCATCGTCAGTATATCTTCAAACCTGGTTTTGAAGTCATCATGCAGAGCACTTAAATGTTGACTGTAGGTATGGATATCCTCATCAATACATTCTACCTGCGACAAGTTTGGAAATTGAGAGAATTCGCGCCGACTAATGTTTTGCTTCATAAATTTCAATTTCCCAAGAAAAGCCGAAATTATCCCCTTTGTTTTTATTAAATTCAGGCTGTCCCCTTGTAACTGCAAGTTAATATCATTAAATTTTTTAAACAAATCTGTCAAATACGCAATGTCTGCTTTGAATTTGATCAAGTTTTCTTTTAAATCTGGATCTCTACTTTCTAAGAACTCTAATATGGAATCGAAAACAGAGTAAAATCTCGTTAAGCATGCACCTTTCGACAACCAGCGTACTTCAGTATGTAAGAGCAGTCGTTGGAAGTCTTCATCATTTTCGTCGCACAATTGAGCAAATAAACGCGTATTCAATGCATTGCTTCTGATTTTGTTGACAGCTTTTATTACAAAATGAAGAGATTGGTTCAACCTGTCACTTAAATGTTTTGCCACAAGATGTTGTCGGTGGATTACGCAATGAATAGCTGTAAGTCCTGGTATAATTCTTTTGAGATGACTTATAAACCCACGATATCGCCCGACCATTGCAGGAGCTCCGTCTGTTGCCACTGAAATAATGTTTGTAAATGGGATCGATTTTTCCGTAAAAAAATTACTCAGGACATTAAATATTGATTCGCCTTTAGTGTCAGTCTCCAAAGTTCTGGCAAATAGCAATTCTTCGTGAATTTCTTCCTCAACAATAAATCGGACATATGCCAATAGTAATGCTTCATTACTGGGTAACGTTGACTCGTCCAGTTGTATAGAAAAATGAGTTTTTTGCAGATGATTGCACAAAAAGCTTTCGATATCAGAGCTCATTTCATCAATGCGTCTTTGTACAGTATTGTTACTTAATGGAATTCTTTTTAGTACGTCAAATGGAGATTTGTGCAAAACAGTTTTTAAAACCTCTTCAACAGCGGGTAAAATTAATTGTTCTCCGATAGTGTGCGGTTTTCCAGATTTTGCTATAAGTAATGAGATATTGTAAGATGCCCGCAAGCCATCATCGTTACTTTGAGATGTTGAAGCGAACATACTGTGCATGGTGGGTCTCTTTCCATATTTTTCTTTCAATGTTTGAAAATATTTTAAATCTTTACCTATTTTATCAGTATGACACCTTTTTAGATGATCTTCGAGCTTTGATGGTTTCATAGAGTCATTGCTCAAAACTTTGTTGCATAATAGGCACATGGGCAATTGTTTGTCTGCCTCTGATGGAACAAAACCATATTTCAAATAATCGATACTATATTGTCGACATTTTTTCTTTGCTGTAGCCATGTTTCGTGTCAGTTACCTTACCTGTAAAAAAAAGTTTTAGTAACCAAGATTTTTTTCTGAGATATATAGGTATCACACCGCAGCCTTTGTCAGCACGCGGAAATAGAATTACAGCTTGTAAAGGGACCAACTAATAAACCGCTGAGACAAATACAGACGTTTTCACAAAACGGTATCAATTTTAAAGCCATACATAATTTACCACTAATTTTTAATGAGTATAAATAAAATTGGTGTACTCAGTATCGAATACTGATCATATTTGTGTAGGAAAAAATAAAAGTCGAAATCCCAAAATTGTCCATAAAACGATAACTAACATTTTATTAAATCAATGAGTTCACGCGCTCCGTGTATTTGCGTATTTTTTGTCTGCGGCTTCATTGTTAAAACGTGACAAACTGGCATCAGAAGTCCAAGCCCTGCCCTTTTCCCGTCGCCCGCGCCACCGCTCGCTCTTTCCGAAGGAATAGTTTTGATAAAATAGTTGCTGAAACCAATTTAAAATGATTATGAAATTACTCTTTTATAAAATTAGTAGTTATTTGCAAGAAAAATTACAAAATTAATTGCTCTGCAATATTGCTTATTCGGCCTTTTAGAGGCAGTGTTTCTCTCGTGAAAAACAATTGAATAAAACGTGCTGTGTTTGTCTTCAAATCGAAAGAGGACAATTAAAATATCTGTAAGTTACTAAGTTACCTATCTATACAGGCCGTTGTGATCAACCGACTAGTACACGTAAACAAAATACTTAAGTACTATAACAAAAAAAGGTAGGTTACTTACTTTTCTCCGGCACTAGCAAACACAGATATAAATTTTTCTCACAACTTTTTTTCCAAATTCCGCCTTTTTTTTCGAAATTCCGAAACAAATGAATGCGTTTGCCTTTGGCATCAAGTATTTATAGTGGTGATCAAGTTCATGTCTGAACAAGCATTAAGCATTGTCGGGCGGATAGCGCTTTGCAAGTCTGTACACGAAATTGTACGTAATATCGAATACGCAAGTTTGGACAAGTAACAGTCGCTTGCCTTATTAAAATATTATCTGCTTAGATAGGTACTTAAAACAATGTAGGTAGGCCCTTATAAAAACTATGCTTACATTTTTGCTCTTTACTATCAAAAGCAGATAAATTTTCGTGGACCCCCATTAACATCTTATGGACCCCCATTTTTTGTTCACGCCTACGTAGACCCCCAGCAAGTCTCCCGTGGACCCCTGGGGGTCCACCTGGACCACTTTGGGAATCACTGCTCTACACCCTAAAGTCAATCTGTTTTCCAAAAATCAGCTTTTTACGTCAAGCGCTTTAAGCAGGATCGTGATTAATCAACGACCAGATTTTTCGAAACACCCTGTATACATTTTTAAAAAATCTTAAAATATGTAAAAAAAACAAAATAAAATATACGTGTTTAAGCGTTTTTTCGGAAACTTGACCGTTTTTTAAATAAAAAAATATTGTAATATTTCAAATTCAAATTCAAATTTCAAATTTCTTTATTAGACCCCCATTAAGTTTTACAGAATAATATTAGTATTAATAAATGTGTGTCTAAAGGGATCGCACCGCGATTAAAAACCCGATACAATGGCGCAAAGTGCCAGTTTCACCCTCTTGGAACTGGAATTTCCCTGGAATCAACCTGTATGCCAAAATTGAGCTTCTTACGTTGAGTGGTTTGAGCAGGATCGTGATTAATCAGTATGTCAGTCACTTAAGGATTTTATATATTAGTATAGATTCCTTTGTTATATTTCACATCCTTGTACTACATTTTTATCAGAGTCGTAAAACAAAAATTTCGAAAAAAAATACAATGAACCCTAAAGTTAACATTTAAATTAGACCTTGGATAGTGTAAATTGTTTGTCAAGAAGAGCATGTCTAGCTTAATCAAACAATGCATCATTATACAGGGTGTCATTGAAATGGTGTAAAAAAATTATAGTATGGGGGGTGATAGTACTCCTAAAAATAGTAAAAAAAGTTCCTATAAGTATAGTGCAAAAAATGCATATTAAGGGAGTTAGAGGCACTGAAAGGGTGTATTTAAAAACAC